GACTCCACGCGCATGTCTTGTCGCCAGAAAACCGCCGGGTCTTATCACATCACCCATGCGCATGCCGGCACTCCCATCGAATCACACCAAGCAATGGGTCATCACGTGCCGAGCTAGCAAGCAGGAAAACGATATCAGCCAAAAGGACAAACACCCTGGATGCAGAGCTGTTGGGTGGTTTATGACATCCTTGTAGGCTTCACTTGTTAAGAGCCCCTGACCCGTTGTAGCCGTTATGGAGTCGTCCCGAACCGATGCTGCCGTCGTCAGTTCATGGTCCGTTCACCGCCGCGGCAATCGAGAAAAAGAACATAAATCCTACGGTGGCGCAATTCCTCGCGGGAAGTTCTGGGTAGATCCGTTATCCAAGCTTCTTCTTCTTCATATTCACATACACAATGCCTCACAAAGATTTGCCCATCAGACCTCTGGTCCGTGCTTTTGACCCCGTTGGGCCAGACACTCTTGGACCGCCAGACCTTGACTTTGCTTCTCTGTTCAGAGAGAGAAACGTCCCTGAGGATGCTCCTCTGACGCTGTATCCCGAGCAGCTGAACGTGCCTTGGCATACTTCTCTCCCGTGGACAAGGCAGTCCAAATGGTGGGTACGGGGTGAAGCAGCTGGACGGGACTTGGTGAATCGAATCAGTGCCGACAAAGCGTCTGAGAGGGGAGCTCTACCTGTGGAGTTTATGGATGAGCGTCGAAAGGGGAAGATTGACGAGCTCGTTGAAGATGCGGTTTCATGCGCTGTTTACCTCTACCCATCGTCATCGCCGACCCGAATAGAATTGCTGACGCAGGCTCTTTTGCTTTTGTTTTTCCACGATGGTATGTTAACATCTCACTCAACCTCGATCTCACTGACACGTATCTAGATGTTATGGAGCGCGGTGCAACACAAGATGTAAGCTGAACAGACAATATGCTTTTACAGAACTGACCCCCTCTAGGACGCAACAGTTTGTGATGATTTCGTGACGATGGTACCCAAGAACAAACACATGAAACGATACTTCACAGAGGTCCTAAAATGCGATCCCATTCTTGGACCTGGTCTTCTTCGAGCTATTGGTCTGTTTGTCAATGCAGGCCGCAAGAAGTCACCATTCAAGCAAGATAAATACGCAACGTTAGCCGAGTACTTGGACTACCGCCGCCACGATATTGCAAAACCGTGAGTTCCGTCCTCCAAGTCCCATCAGTATATACTAACCACCTTCAGCTTCATGATCGCTGCTATTCGATTTGGAAGCGGTGTTCGCCAGACGCCCGAGGAAACCGCTCCCTTTGCCGAGCTAGAAGACCTCTACGTGCAGCACTCCATCCTCATAAACGATCTCTACTCCTACGACAAGGAGATCTACGAGGCGCGCACCATCAACGGCTCCGTCGTCAACGCAGTGCACGTCATTGAAAAACTCATGTGTGTACCGCCGCATTTGGCAAAGACTATCACTAGAACTATGAGCTTCGACGTCGAGAAGAAGTACTACGCCGAGTCAGAGAGGTTCATGCGTGATCCTGCGTTGAACGACAAGCAGCGTACTTATGTCATTGCGCTATTTGATTGTTTGACTGGGAATTTGTTTCACCATGCTACGTTGGGGAGATACTCTCGATATGCGGAGTATGTTTTTGATTGCAGAACCTAGAGATGGTCTAGATCGTCCATAGCTAGCATGACATTGTCTTTCAATAATAGCGTATACGATTTCTTTTTTCCGACACTTGCCTCGGTCTTGTCTGCGTGAATTCTTTGAGTGTCACCTTGGCAAGGATGGATGATTCCAAACCTTCGGGACCTCCCAAAGGTGCCAGAACTAAACGAGATCCAGTACGACTTTATGCCCAACCCGAGCAAAAGGCGAGCGCATGCAACGTCACATCGCGAGTAAAAACATCAGGCTCACCGTTTCACCTTCATCCGTAGTTCAAACCAACAAACCAGTCGCATCACTTGTCTTGTCAACAAAGTTCATCCGGGGAAGCTTATACACCCTCCCTGAATTCAAATACCCTCAGACCTTCGCGTACGTATATGTCCCGAGCCGGGTGAAGGTTGTCGTCTGATACGACGATCACATCCCGAAAATGGAACTCTTATCAACAAATCCATGTCGATAGTAACCCCTGTACATTGCTGACATATTTCTGGGGTAATCATGAACGCCTACTCCGCAGAGTATGTATAGTATGCTCGAAATGGATAAGATGTGATGCACCAATCACCGGGCTCCCGTATATCCGTGGGGTGAAGTGCTTCACCGCCTGTTGGTTGTGTTACGAGGAGGCTGGGCTCGTGCGTACGGCTTGGCTCCGATTGAAGAAGCGGGAATAGGGGACTTGACTGGTTATAACCGAACGCGAACTACTGAAAGATTGGGAATGGTGTCCGAAGAGAAGAGCCAAGTGTAGTGATATGATGTTAGCATTGGAGAGCTAGTATAGGATCCTGGTATAGCTACAACTATAAACAATCGCTAAAGGAGCGGTATGATAATAGAACCAACAGGTAGTAAACACCGAACGCCATGGAAAGTCAAACTCCCGCTATCAACATCCCAGCACTTAAACGAATGACAGTATCCCTGCCATACTAGTTTGATCCGACACTGGTCTTCAAAGACCCATGAAGACGCAAAAGCGGATTCTCAATCCCACTTCCAAGCGCATCAAACCCCCGCGTATCATCACCGTTGATCTGAGCTCTAATCAAATCCCCCAAGCGCTGGCGCAACTCTGGCGTAAGCTTGCCATCAGTCACTGCAAGGCCGCCTAGGAAGTCGCTCAGCATGTTCATAAGGGGGTTGAGTGATGCTTTCAGGCTGAGCTTTAGACCAAGCGTCTCGAGAAGGTCGTTGACGATGTCAAGGAGTTCTTGCACGAGTTCTTCGACTAGAGTGAGGACATCTTCGCGTTGATCGCTGGTGAGTTTGAGGTTCTTGGTAGTGGAGAGTCTAGTTAGGGCGCCGGAGACGGCAGCGCGGATTTGGATGATTTCTTTGATGGCGTCGGTGGTGCCTTTGCTGCGAGTCTCTGTTCCAGCTTGAACTCTGAGCAGTGTTCCATCTGATGGTGTTAGTACATATTGTGCTTATGAACAGTAGGACACATACTGATTCTGTCACCTCGGGCGGTGATCTGAGCAACAAGACTATCCAAGGAATCAACAAGATCCTGACCGTTCTTGAAGCCGGTCGACGAAGACTTGAGCAATCTCTTGGAATGGGTGGTCTTGGGCTTCTTTCCAGACTTGGTGTGCTTCGCCGACGCCTTAGCAGAAGTCTTCTTTGATGTCTTCTTCTTCTTAGATGTAGCTTTGGAGGACCTCTTGACTTTTACATTCGTGGTAGCGGTTTGTCCTGCCTTCTGCTCAGCGCGAAGAGCATCGAGGTCGACTTTGACACTGGGAAGGCCATTGTATGGAATAGTGTCTATATGATGAGATGATTTCTTGACGAGGGCTGTGCCTGGAGCTGGTGCAGCAAAAGCGCTGCTCATGAGAGCTGCAGCGGCGATGAAGAAGATTTTCATGATGGAATTTTGGACGATATAGTTGGCAATTTTGTTCAGCGTGGTGTGAAGATGCTGATCCAGCACGAAGGCGACTCGCAGACATTTATAAAATTCCTTGTAGCCTGAAAACTCAGAATAAAGTTGGGATTTGCCTCATGCGACAGTTGAAGTTATCGTCATATTGTCGATCTTCTGATCAATCAACCATCATATCATGAGATGACATAGCATCATCGTTGAACCAACGATTTATTTAGAGCCACTGACGTGAATTGCGTTCTTTCATGAATATCTGCTATGGAGTTTAAGAGTTTACAGTTTGGGGCTGGTATGAAGTTACCGCGAAGAGATACTGTGGCTTGCCGATCATGCCCAAAGCCCTGACAATCAAGATTAAGAGGGTCCATCGACAGATCCGGACATTTTCGTCTCGGCAATCAGTACGTCAGTTCCTGGTGGCCCTGAGGTCAGCAAATCATGATGGAGTGATGACCGTCTAGAATCAGGCACCATCATGGTCCCTTGGACCCTTCATAACTTTTGTCAGCCGAATGACGTCGTTTGAAGTCTGGTGTCAACGAATTTGTGTATGATCAACCAACATCTGTAAGGCTATGATGGGTTCCACCTTGCTTGAATATGTGGCACTCAATGGACCTATTGTGTCTCAATCCTGATTCTTTGGGGTATCCAAATTCGGTGATCCAGAATGATGGTGTTGCAATGACACGGAGAACGTTTTAACAAGAGCCGTTCAGCGATAACGTCGCAGATGCGTTAAAAACAAATGAAATAGGAAGGATATTAAAATTCCATGCTTGAGTGTCATAATACATATATAGTCAGAGGTCTTGGAGAAGCATTAAACAAGTTCATTCCATGAGTAGGTGTAGGGTAACAATTCCATCCGAGGTCTACCAACCCCACCACATCGGAGAAGAAAAACACGTCTCCACAACAGTAAAGCAAAAAGCAAAAAGCAAACTTCGCGAGGACGTGCGCAGAGCAAAAGAAAGGGTCTGGCCGGGGATTGAACCCGGGACCTCTCGCAAGCAATGCTGTAGGGTTTTCCCTAAGCGAGAATCATACCACTAGACCACCAGACCGGTCAAGTTCTGAAGAACTTGCTGAGGAGTACTGGCTTCGGTGGCACAAAATTACAATCATGAACTGTACCAGAAACAAGACAGAAAACCAAATAACTCAGATTCAATAATAACTATATCGCTCGTCTCTTTCAAAAGCGCTTTGTCCTAGTGCTTAGCAGAGACATGCATTTCGTTACATAAAAATTCTAGCATGCGTCTCAGATTTGTTTTCTCCATTAGAGTGTGTAAATCTAATGGCACCACGTGTCAACCGCAGATGTAACGTTGACGCCAAGGGACACAAGTTTCTTGTAATTAAATATTCATTTCAACAAGCTATATACATTGGAAAACACAGGGTTTCATCACACTGAAACTCATCTACATCTTAGGATGAACCTGTGTGACGTATGTAGAGAGTCCTTTTCCTGGACGGTCGCTAATAAGCGCGATCCCTCCCTCCCCAGTTCAAAGACCCACCATCTTACTCAACGAGACTGGATGCAGGCGGTTGAACAAGGCTGCAATGTCTGTACATTGCTGCACGATGCGCTTCCACCTGGAATGGCTGCTCACCTCGAGAAGCTTGATCTCGAAACTCGGAAGAATATAGCCTGGCCTTTGGAAGAGTCTCTCGATTCTTTCCTAATATGGATAAAGCTCGCTATTTCTCATGAGCTCCCAAGTGTCGGGGTCTGTTTAGAATTCAATGCGGCAACGAAAGGTTTGGAAGGCCCGTTCCGAGAATCAACCAACTTAGTTCTTATGCAGCTAGACCTTGACCATGGCTCCGTCGCGAGCCCTGTGTCGTTGCGAGAGAGTCCTTCGAGCGACTCGCGTACTGCTTGGGGTCTGATGAAACACTGGATCAGTCAATGTAAGCAAAAACACCTAGATCGCGGTCTACGGACTGGTGTCGCAGGACTATGGTACCCAACTCGACTACTCGATTTGGGACACCCCGAATCAACAAGTACGCCACGGCTCATTGAGACAGCTTTCAGCTTACCAAAAAGCCCTTACCTAACGCTCAGCCACTGCTGGGGAAAGAAGCAACTGATCTGCGCCACGAAAGAAAATCTGCAAAGTCTGTATAGCGGCGTCTATAATCTACCGCAAACATTTCAAGATGCCGTCGCTGCAACGAGAAACCTAGATATCGTTACCTCTGGATAGATAGTCTATGCATCGTGCAAAACGATCAGGAAGATTGGGCTAGAGAAGCAGCTCTGATGCACAGAGTGTATACCGAGGCAGATTGCAACCTTGCCGCGGCAGCGTCACGAGACAGCAGTGGAGGAATGTTCTTCAGACGTCAGGGATTGTACGGCCAATGTGTCGTGAAAAACGTGCGAGGGGATGTCATTGACATCTTTGCTGACCAAGACCTATTCCTGAAGGAAGTCAACCGCTCCCCTCTACAGACGGTGAGGGATTCCCCTAATTCTGTAACAACGTCCGTTTGATGAGATTCTGACAATCACCCAGCGTGCATGGGTATATCAAGAGTGGCTGATGTCGAAAAGAACTATCCACTTCGCCAAAAGCCAGGTCTTCTGGGAGTGCGATCATCTTTGCGCTTGTGAGGTCTTTCCTGACGGGCTTCCTAATACCATCAGACACGACGGAAAAGCAAAGTTTGCAGAAGACTTTGACAGCGCCAAACATCTGTTGAGCCGAGATATGAAAGTAAATGCAAGTCGTATTCGTCCAGACCCGTTTCGGCTTTGGTCAGGCCTCGTTACCCACTATACCTCTCGCGATATGACGAAGGCGAATGATCGATTACCCGCCTTGTCCGGTATCGCGAAATGGCTACAGCCGCATCTCGGAAATCCGGGATACCTGGCTGGTGTTTGGAACAACAGCGACATTCATCGCCAGCTCGCGTGGTACACATACCATACCAAGAATCCAAGGCCGCAATACAGGGCTCCGAGTTGGTCATGGGCATCAATCGATGGCCCCGTGTTTTGGTCAAATGCGCCTGCCATATTTACTCCCCAGTCAGAAATTCTCACTATCTCGACGACTCGTGGCAGCAGTGATCCCACAGGGTCAGTCACTGGCGGTCATATCCTGATCAAAGGCAATATGGGCCGTGTACAAATCATTGACCACGAGTCGCGCCCGGTTCTGCGCAGAGAGGACGATGTAACAGAGAGTTATAGGTGTTATGTTACGTTCCGCGGATTTGATGTCAGCAGCCTCCAGTTTGGCCTGTACTACGTACTGCACCTTGGCACAGAGACCATCCAACCCCGCAAGATACATTCCTCATCTTCGGGGGAGGACTGCTTTTCCGCTACATATTTAGTTCTTCGACCTGTGATTGGAGAACATGGTGCCTTTGAGCGATGTGGGCTTGTCGACGAGTGTTATCCTGTTGACAGTGAACATCGAACACTGGCAGACCGAGGACCACAGAGTAGACAAGATATACCTTGCGAAGAGTATGTTGAGGATGAAGGAAATTACAGGATTCGTATAGTCTAGAATCTGAAGCATGAGGTTGTTCATACGCAAAGGCATGGTGATGTTAAGCGCAGTCAGGATAATTCAGAGCTAAGAAGACAGCTGGATAGCTTGTCTTGCTTGCTAGCCAACATTTTACTAGCGCAAGGGATATGCGGGTAGAGCTCCCGGGGAAGATATCAGAAGTGGGCATGAGGTATTGGTGACTAGTCGTTGGCAGAAACGGACCCCCATTCTTGCAACGTGTGGCATACGTAACTATACCACTAAGCGTTTAAGCATATTGATACATATCTAAGAAAGTGTCAGAGGTTTGGAAGTTAATTTTTATTTGTGAAACGAGGAATAACCATTAAGGAATACAAGACGACATATGGGGATACAGCGCGCAGCATTGAATGCGGCGAGAGGATAAAACAAGCAAATCCTTGGGTATACGAACTCTGAGCCTGAGATATGCAAGTATTTGTCTATCGGTATCATAACAAACACCGAGATCCACATTACCCCGGATTTTATCACCCACAATGACATTTACGATCCAGCCAAGGATATAACTCAGATACCAAGCCGGATACCGATCCTCCAGTACCAAATCTGTCTCATCTAGACAATTATTACCAGGTACATTATCACCTGGACGTAGATCATGGCAGAAATTACCCATTTCAGATATCCACGATCAATCTTGCCCGACCACCACAAACATCGCTCCGACAAAAGCAACCCCCCAATCAAAGCCCCATATCCCTTGTGACAAATCGCATGAATCACAGTATCAGGACTTCCAATACTCACACGGCTGGAACTCTGTGCTGCGGGGGCTCGACCAAAAAACTAACCTCAAAACGGTAATTTTAGTCTGATATTCCTTCTTCACCACCGAATTTGTGGAGTTCGCGCAACGCCTCGTGGTTCTATACTAAGATTCGAGATCTGGAACGCTTGCTTGCGGGCGCAAGGGAATCTGGGGTATTACGTTTTGAGTTGACATTAGGGCTATATCGATGATGCGCCTGTAGCTTTCTCGGAACTCTGCCTATCAAGTCATTAGACCCGCGCCATACTACTCCCTATACACAGTACCTAGCGCTGCTTGGTGTGTTTAACCGTTAGCTTTATTATGCGAAGGGGGCGTTTCCCCGCAAACTTTGGGTTTGCCGACGGGCTGGGCCTTGTGGCATATACAAGTCGAGCACCTCGCTCTTCAATCTCCAGAATTGCCATGCTTTAGTGAATAGCTCTCATTAAAACATCACCATGACAGAACATACACATAATGTCCAAGGTGAAGGCCATCTTCGGCCTCGCCTATCAAAGATCACCATGGTAGCCATGACCTTTGCCATTCTCAAGTGTGTCTTTCCCAACTTCTCTGCCCAAACCTCGTTCTGATGTGAAGTCCAGCACTTGGATCTGTCTAGCAGGAAGTTTATCTATCGTTCTTCCTTCTGGTGGATCTGTTGCCTTCTTGTATGGCTTCATCTTCTGTGTCCTGTGTAATTTTGCGCTGGCGGCTAGTTTGGGTGAGTTGGCGGCGATTTGGCCGACTGCTGGTGGGCAGTATCATTTCCAGTGGGCATTGACTTCTGAGAAGTGGAGGAAGGTCATGGTGAGTTTTGTGATGTGCGATTCCTAGAAGAGTGTTGACGAGAACAGAGTTTTGCGGTTGGGTACATCAATATTTTTGGATGGCTGACCCTCGTGACAACTGAGGGTTTCTTCGCAGGTTTGTAATTCTGCGCGCTTGAGAGCACGACAATTAACATCTGTAGCACAATTCATCTCGGCAGCATGCGTCGTAGCTTCCAACGGAAACTACGTCGTAGCAGCGTGGAAGACGTACCTAATCTTCATGGCCGTCCTCACATTCGGCACTCTCTCCATGACCTTCGGCAACAGAATCCTGGGTGCCTGGAACAATCTCGCCCGTAAGCCTTCCAAATCCCTCTACTGTAAGTTCCGACTAACTTTGTAGTGTACTGGTCCATTCTCAGCGTTTTCGTTGCCAGCGTCGTCCTTCTCTCGACATCCGACAAAACCGACCCCGAATTCGTCTTTGCGACATTTGCGAACGAAACAGGCTGGAACGACGGGATTGCGTGGATCTTGGGTCTTTTGCAGTCAGCGCTGTCACTTATCGGATACGATGCTGTGCTGCACATGACGGAGGAGATGCCAACGCCGTCGAGAGATGCGCCTTTGGCAATGGTATACGCTGTTGGCGTGGGGGGAACTACGTAAGTCAAACACCGACTCCAAAAACCGTAAGCTAACGGAGGGACAGCGGTACAATCTTCATCCTCGTTATGCTCTTCTGCCTCACCGACCTCTCGGGAATCGTCGCAACATCGACTGGCATGCCTATCGTCGAACTCATCCTTCAAGCAACCGGCAGCCGTGCGGGCACCACGTTCCTCACGCTCATGCTAGCAATCTGCTTCATCCATGGGACCAACGGCTCGATCACCAGCGCCTCCCGACTCCTATACGCGATGGCTCGTGATAAAGGTACTCTGTATCACGAGTACTTTAGCCACATCCATCCCAGATGGGAAGTGCCTATTAGAACTATTGTTCTTACCTGGGTGTTTAATGCGATCTTTGGATTGTTGTATCTCGGTCCGACTGTTGCGTTCAATGCGTTTATTTCGAGCTGTACGATCTTGTTGAACATGTCGTATGCCATTCCGGTTGCAACACTTATAATTCGAGGGAGAGATACTTTAACGAGGTTTCAGAGTGCAGATACACCTTGGAGGTTTGGAAAGGTTCGAGGCCTGATCATTAATTACGTTGCCGTTCTTTACGTCTTCATCACATCAATTGTAGGCCATCCTCTCCATCAACACTGCCAAGCTAACACTTTTCTAGTTCTTCTGCTTCCCGCCCGTTCTACCAGTCGACGCCAGCTTGATGAGTACATCCCCCCCTTTCCCTTGTTCCCCCGATTACAAGCTGACGACAGGTTTAGATTACGTTTCGGCTGTGATTGGCATCTTTGCCATTTTCCTGACAGGATACTGGGTCTTGTATGGGAAGAAAACATTCCAGGGCCCGGTAAGTTTTATTTCTTGCTTCCTTGGAAAATTACTGATGATTGTGACAGGATCTCGATGTGATTCTTGGAGAACGACCGGACATTGTCGAAGCCACGGATGAGTTGGCGATGGAAGAAAAGAAGGTCGAGAGCCCAACGGAGTGATAGACGGTACCATAACGGGCTTTATATAGCTTACATTTAATGACTTGAACGAATCTTTGCGATGAAATTGCTCCCAATCAGCCACTTTCTGTAATCGGCAGCGTATGCATCTTTTGCCGAAAGCTGTTGAGTTGGATTAGCGGAAGCGCACTGTCTTTCATTGGTTCACCAAATTCCAGCTCCCTCGTAGCGGATCGCTCCGCCCCAGGCCTAGCGAATCTGCTTATCGCCACTGACTAACAAAGTACAGTAACACAATGTTATCCGTAGCTTTGCCCTCCTTGCTCGGAACTGTACCGGAGCAATGTCATCTCAACGGTGACTCAATCCGACTGCGAGAACTCAAGATCTCATAGTGTAGTGTCAGTGATCAACTACCGAGCCCTACCAACACCTAAACCGTCTTCAATGCGACGTAACTCTCGGCCCTGCGGAGTTGTAAACCCGTCTCCAACAAATCACAATCTAGCTTACCAATTCCGCGGCTCCCGCTAAACCAATCTTATCACCGCGCCCTTGAACTTCTGCGGGGAAGCCCAGTTCACTTTCACTTCAATTCTTATCATCAATCGCCTGAGCACGTTTTTCTCATCTCAACCCGCCCCATAAACTTGCTCACACCCTATATAAACTCACCATGGAGGAGCCGGAATCAAGTGCCAGGTCCACCGCCAAACGGAAGCTGCCCGTCAGGTCGAGATCCGGATGCTTGACATGCCGGACTAAACACGTAAGTCAATTTCCGGATGGCGGATGAGCGCGACTGATAAGGAATAGCTGAAATGCGATGAAGCAAAGCCAGAATGCCAGGTTTGTATATCGCGAGGCGTTCAGTGTGGAGGGTATCAACGCGGTTTGAGATGGTCTACCAAACATGAAAAACCAGCTGAACTCGCCGACCACAAATTCCGAACATCACCAAAGCAAACCTGCGGCACTAAGAAGCGCCGTGGTAGACCGCCAAAACGACAACTAGACACTGCATCTACTGCATCCTTCACCACCGCTGGTTCAGTCTATAGCTCCAGCGATGCGAATCAAGGAGTTTTTGGCGAATTTATGCTGAACACACAGCCTTTGGAGACCCAACACGATGCTCAGCTTGTGGAATCTGAAATGAGTCCAACAGATGACTTCATATCTCAATTCCCGCTCGACCTTCCCGTTGAGGGTCTTCCGATGCCAGAGTTTGAATGGACGCATGACGCGCTGGATCTAACGACACCGACATTTGATACATTTTCTGATACGAGCACCGACCTCGCTCTATTCCCAGTGCAGCAGAATTTCTCAACGTTATTCGTTCCTCCACCAATAACAGACCTCTCAACTCAACTCGTTGAATACTGGTTTCGCGATATCTGCTCTTTGTGGTCGCAGTATGACTCACCGACAAACTCGAATCGCATGCTAGCAACAACTTTATGGTCAACTTCGGAAGCTGTATCGACCAGTTTGCAGAGCATGTCATCGGCGTATCTATCATCCAAGATGCCGCATATGAAGAAGACTTCTATCGCCATGATGAAGAATGCTACTGATGTTATCGAGGCGGAACTGCGCGTTGTCAAATCATCACCGAATCTGGACACCGTGCCTATGGGTCTGATTTACGGGTTGTTCTGTATAGGGACCAGCATATGTTGGCTGAACGCGACGCAGTTGGGTATACCGTTCCTCAGAGAAGCGAAAGCTCTTCTTCACCGGATAAACAAGCAAAAACGGCGTCTGTCGGAGGAAGAGCGGAAGTTACTAAATATCTTCAACAAAAGCTGGACGTACTGTGAGCTACTACTCTCCGTCGTCTCAGACACGAACCCATATATAACATACGAGGCCGAAGAAGTCGAGGATATCAGCGCAGACGAATATCCAACGGCTCCACCAACCGAACCTGTCGTTGATGACATGCCGCATCCTTGGACGGGTGTTTCGAATACAGTATCACGACTTCTGACTCAGACGTTGAGACTCTGTCGTAATTATAGATATCACGTTAAACACCCTGGGCCTTTTGCAACTCGCGATCACGCTACTGCACTAAACATGATTGAAGAAGCGAAAACTCTCGAGGAAAAGCTCCTTGGCTTGGACTTTGAGTCGGCACCTGCGAATACCGAGACGGGAGATCAGAAAACACCGTGCCGTCATCTAGTCAACGTCGCTGAAGCGTACCGTCTCGCTGGCCTTATCCATATCTACCAAACATTTCCAGAGCTAGTGCTTCTCAGATTACCCGATAATCTCTCCGGTCCAGCAGATGCTCACATCCCATGGGAAGAATGCATCACACCACTAAGTCTCCGTCTCACAAAACTCATCGAGCAACTCCCCGCAGACTCGGGTAGTAAGATGACCCAACCCCTGCTCTGCATCACCGCCAGCACCGGTCTACGCTTCGAACCCTCTGATACAACCTCCAGCCCCGAAACACAAGGCCCTCTTGTGACGCCAACACCTTTTGACCTCGGGAGCACTGAGCATTGCGGGTTATCAGATTACATCGGACAGCTCATCCAGGCAGACGAAGATATTGAGCGACTGTCTACATCTACTGCTACGGAATCTCGAATGAAGATTGTTGAGGCGAGATGTTTTATAGTTGGGAGGCTTGATGCGTTGGAAGCGCTGCTGCCGCCGAGACCGATTGTTGTGGCGAAGACGTTGGTGCAGACGATTTGGAATGAGTATGATAAGGAGAAGGCGGGTGCTGCGAGTGTACATTGGATTGATGTCATGGAGGAGAATAACTTGCGGTCGTTGTTTGGATAGTGATAGCTAGAATGAGAGCTCGAAATTGACTATAAAACTTCCTCTTACTTTTCGCCAGTCTTGATATAGGAGTCTGCTTGAAGCCTGGCTTTCGCTAACCGCTCAAGATTATGTTTCCACAGCCTCCCTACGAGAGTGAGTAGCATTTATGTTATGGTCTTAGGGATCACTGTTGAGCTTAAATATGTTGAAACTAAAGTCTCTATATTAACCCATGTTTCTATATACTCCGGCCAATATAAGCCCGGAAGTCCGACATTATATACATCGAAAGTGACATCCCCACTATTCCCTAGTGATTCAGAGGTAATCAGTACCTCGTCAAAGCCACTGGCATTTAGATGGTTCCGAAACCAGCACTGGCAGCAAGACCAGTGACGGAAGACACAGGCTTAGCCTCAGCACCCTTTCCGTCGAAAGAGCTGAAGAAGCTAGAATCGGTACCAGACAGAGAACCAGAGTTGTCATACTGGTTAACCTCGCAGACGTGGCCAACACCGCTGGAGCAAGCAGCGTTGGCGGAAGCATCAGGGCTGGCAAAGATGGCGCCGGTAGATCCCTCCTCGATAGCGGCCTTGACGTCCTGGAAGAGGTTGCCCTCTGCGAGAATCTTGGCTTGGTCGCTGGTCTCGAAGGCGTGGCCGGAGTTGTCGGACCAGTAGTTGTTGACGGCGTGGAGGACAGTGTTTCCGGCGACCTTGGGGGCGCGGCCGGAGGTCTTGGTGATGTAGTTGTTCTTCATGGTGATCATCTGGTGATTGTTAGCATGGATGCGTAAATCAGAAATGGTTGGGGCTTTGGACTTACGTCGCTGGAACCGGTGAAGTACATAGACCAGTACTGGTGTCCGTCACAAGTAGCAGACCACTGGCTCTCGCCGTTGATGTGGTTGTTGGTGATGGAGACTCGATTATCAGCGTTGGTACCAAGGACGATGTGCTGTCGGCCAATGTTGGAGGTTGTGACGTGATCGATCCAAACAAGATCAGCGCCATCAAGGGTAATAGCGTCTCCGCCCCAAACATACTGAGGGTTCAATTCAGTAATATGGATGTTCTGAATAATAATATTCTTGGTTCCCTTGATGTAAAGACCCTTGCCCTTGATGACACCATTCGCACCAACACCAACAATCGACTTATCCGAGTTGACGATAATCGGGTTCAAGCCCGCCTTATCGTAGCTAACATCGACCTTGGGGGCATCAGGCTGATAGTTGTTACACCAATCATCCTTGTTGATAGCCGTCTGGCAGCCCGAGCCTGTACCCCATGGCGCACAGCCCTGCTCGGACGCAGTGCCCTCGGTACCGGTGAAGTCGAACTCCTGGTCGAGCAGGATGACGCGCGTGGTAGAGTCGCCAAGCATAGAGACCAGCTCATCGGTTGACTTGGGGTACGCGCCCTCGGCACTACCGCCGCCTGTGACTTCGGAGGCGAATCCCTCGGGGGTGCCGGTTACACCGGCGGCAGAAACGTTGGAAACCAGCGCGGCCACGGCCACGGAGAGAAGAGAGAGAGACTTCATGGTGAAGAGTAGAAAAAAGAATGTGGGAAAGATAAAACAAGAAACGAACGAATGAAGAGCAGAAAATGGAATAGAGAGGTGAATTAGTGGGAAGGCATTGGTATATTTATCTCAGCCAGCTACTTCTCTCGCAGGCGTTACCGTAAGCGGCGGAGAATATGTTCTCCTACTCCGTAGAAATCTTCCAGAAAAAAATGGTCCTGTTTTGTTAACTTGAAACTTGAGACAGGCCGTATCGCGACCTAGTTGTTAGCATCCCGACGACGCCAAGAGTGGCTACAGATCATTATTGGCGGACTTTTGGCATCGCTGTTTTATTCCGTGGAACGTCGGCAGTATTTTTGGGAACTGAAACTTGGTGGCATGGTTGAGCTTGGGATTAAAGGGTTAGTCTTTTGTGGGGAGCGCGTTTCAATGATGAGAAGTTGAAACGGAGGGATCAAGCTTCTTTAGCTTGATGCCAAGTCTCGACAGAAGTGATGATGATCCAATTGTAAGACTGGCTGAGAGTATTGAGCTATATTTTACTAAAACAATCGACTTGAGCCGCATTTCATGGCTATCTCTTACACTTTGTCGTGTCAATGGCTTTTCAGTAAGGATCAAGGTTGATGAAGGCGGAGCCGCATCCCGGTTAGAACAGTGGGCCAGTAGCAGGTTCACCAGCACGGACATTTGTTTACGCACCACGGGATAGGGTTATGCTTATCCTGGGAGCGAAAGACGATGAAACCTGGGTCAAATAAGGCTATTGGTTTCACTTAAGAAGAAGCAATCAGCTCATGACTCTCGATGCTTGATATCGCTGACTTGAATGAGTCGTGGACCAAGTGTACAGGAGCTGAGATGCTTTTCACTGAAGACTACTACTCTTTGCAGCAATTCCTCAGGGCAGTTGACAGTCACGCAGCTTACAGTATGGTCGATGCAATTCCTCTCGATACCGAAATCAATACGCGTAGACTCCATAGTCCATAGATGAGCGGTAAGGGGGAGCAGCGTTGGAATTAACCCGGATATACAGTAACAGCGGACCTCAATACAGTGTCAAAATAAATTTAGCAAAGGTATCCTAAACTTATGCTAAGTTACCTAAGTCTTTTTGTCATTTAGGATCAAGGTCCTAGATTTTCTTTCTCCCCTAGACAGTATCCTTCTGTCAGCCTCAAAGGCATTGGTGCGAAAAAGCTGGTGCCGCAATCTAATCTATCTGATTGTACTCCATACTGTAATTATGATCAGCAATGGTTAGTGGATTCACATTACGCAGCCCGGAATGTGGCTCGCGACGCGACGCCGATAGTACCTATTGCCTATTATACTATGCCGCTTAGAGAATGACATCTACGACACGTTGAATGTGAGGCGTCTTCGGGGAGTAATTAGATTAAGTGCTTGTCATTTTCACCCGAAGCTAGAGCAAACGTTCACATATCCCGTCGCTTAAGCTTTTCCCCCAATCTGGTTGCCACAATCTTTCCAACGTCTCTCAACGACGGTGCCCCAAGCATCTCTAACACACTGACTTGCAGACCAAACACTTGACTAAACCATCGCCGCAACTCAATCGCAGTAAGTGAATCAAGGCCAATCTCAGATAATTTGAGTTTAGGATCAACAGGTACGTCTGGCTTGAGAAGAAAATCGTTGACCTTTGCGCCAATCTCGATAGATAGAAAGTCAATCGACTCTTTCTTTGCGAGTAGTCCAATTTCTCCTTCGCTGACACTCTGTAGAAAAGTCTTGAGTTGACTCCTCTCGCCTCGTGTATCGGATTGGTCTCCAGTAGAAAGGTTGTGGTATGCACCCATTCGGCGATCACGACGCCAATTGGTAGGATTCTTCGGATCGTCGAGGTGGAGCTGGGATCTCATGCCCATTAAAATGTGCCCATTGTTCTTCCATGGCGACCACTCACTCGACACGAGATTCTCGAAGCTGCCACTAGCCAAGCTACGACTGCTTGGGGCCGAATTGAACAGCGAAGCCTCTAGGCATTCAAGAAACTCCTTCTCCCTCACAGTGTGTAGACCCTGGAGTTTGATGCTGCGAAGCGCGGATGGATTTTCCGCCAGGTATCCGACGTCTTCGATGCCACATATTGAGAGCACCGATGCGGGGAGGCCAAGAGAGTGTCTGTACTGGCAGAAAGACTCGGTGAATATGCATCCTGATTTGTAGTTGCCCTGGCCAGGCTGGTCGGCAAATGTGACTGCGGAACTTGCTAGCCAGAAGTAGTCCAGGGGCTGGCCGTGGAGTGCTCGGTGGAGGTTCCAAGTTCCATTGACTTTAGGCTCGATGGCGTCTTTCCAATCCTCCCACTTCATTTCCAGCAGGGGAGAGTCCTATAGATATCAGTATTGACCGCTGCAGAGTCTTTTGACGTACCCTTTGAACCATGGCGAGATGAAAGACACCTTTGAAGGGATATGGGGCCTTGCTGATAGCTTCTTCTACGTCCTCCAGATTATTGGCGCTTCCCTTGACTACAATGGCATTGCATCCCAAGGCTTCGAGTTCAACGGAAAACTTGTCGTCGTCGTCCGTCATACCACTCCTTGAGAGAAACACAAGATGCTTAGCGCCCCGCTCCACTAACCAGACTGCCAGGGCTCTGCCGAGCCCACCCAATCCTCCAACAAGAAAGTAAGATGCGAGAGGGTCGAACTGTATGGTCTGTATCGCCACTTTTGCCTCAGGCTCTGATGCATCTATAGGCATTTCAAGGACTACCTTCCCTATATGCTGGCCATCTTGGAGGTAGCGAAATGCCTTCTTAGCATCGCTTGCAGGAAAAGGGGTGATGGGCCTAAGAGGTCTCAGCTTTCCCTGTCTGAAGAACTCTAGAGTTCTTTCCATCACGCTATCGATCTATTAGCTCTGAAATTGTGGAATTCGCAGATAACCTGACTTACTCCTTCACCAAGATAGGCCGCTCTCCTATCAGGTAGTGCAAATCGATACCACAGTACGACCTGTTTTCCAAGAAGCCACCCATGTCAAGTTGGCCGCATGAAACGAGATCGCGCTTGCCAAGCTCCAGGAGGGTTCCAGATTTGGCGACGCACTTCCAAGAAGTATTGAGGAGTTCACCATTAAGATAGTTTAGAACTAGGTCGACGCCTTTCCCTGCCGTTTGTTGCATCACACCATCCAAGAAGGAAGCATCACGAGAGCTGAAGATGCGTTCCCGCAGGATTCCGTACTCCTTGACCAAATATTCCACCTTCTCCTTGTTTCCAACTGTGGCATATATCTCCCCCTCCATCATCTGCACGACTTGAAGAGCGGCGAGACCAATGCCACCGCAGGCAGAATGAACCAACACGCTGGTTCCTTTGCGCATCTTTCCTACGTCAAGCAGTGCATATATGACTGTAGAAAAGCAACACTGAATGGTGGCGGCTTCTTCAAAGCTCATTTCGTCAGGAATCTTGTGCATGTAGTGATGCTTAGCTGTGAAGTGCGTAGAGAAGCCACCACAGTAACATATACTCATGATGCGATCTCCGATAGAAAAGCCAGTAACTGCGCTGCCGAGGCGTCGGACTGCACCAGACACTTCGATGCCTGGGAATACATTTTGGCTCTCAGATGGAATCAGACCCATGGCTGAGACAACGTCGTGGAAGTTGACACCAGCGGAGTGAACTTTTATCTCAACCTGGTCCTCCATGATCTTGGTTGGAATCGCAGAAGCTATCCAGTTCATTGTCTCGAGGGATCCCGGTTTGTCAACTCTCAAAGTCTTCATTACCTCACCGCCTTGGACCTTGTCCAATGCTTCCTCGGCAATATTGATAGGATGGTAACGGCCAACACAGATTGCACCATCATGCACAATGTATTCCTTGTCTGGCTCAAGAGCCTCGCTGTCACACTCTCTAATAACCTTATCGAAGACGCTGGTAATCAGAATACCCAAACGACCCTCATTGAGGTCAATTTCGAGCGTGTAAAAGTTCAGCCCCAGTTCGGATCGAAGAGTCCGAGCAACACCCAGTGTCTGAGCCGATCTTGGATTTGAACACCCGACCTGGCTTGGAGGTATGAGCCACAGAATACTGATAGATCCAAGATTCTTTGTGAATTCTTGGAACTTCGTGAACATTTCTTGGGAAATATTTTCAAAGAAGGGAGTTTCCAAATCAAGGCAAGAAATGATGATCTGATCCTGAGGCACTTGATCTTCGATTCTCTGCACTGTGATTTTCCAGCCTCTAGTTTCCAGTGAAGATGACACTTGGGTAGCTGGATAACTATATGGATGTCGGGCTAGTAGAGTAACAGAAGAAGGGCGAGTGACCACAGGAGGTTCTTTGCTAGCCACTATGACAGCACAATGTCGATATGGCTCTTCGTCGTCATAGACGGCCACATCGACTCCGCTGTAGCCAGCCTTCTTCAACTCTTGGTCCCATCGCGATACAGGCACGTAAGGCTGATCTGGTCGACCATCATCATCCCCCAGCCACCAGCCAGAAAAGTTTCCAAACACATAGTTAGTCAACCTCGATAGGCTGCAAACTTCTGTCATGACTAGTATACCATCCGACTTGAGTAGTTGTCGAATATTCCCCAACGTCTCGTGAAGTGAAGGCGTGGCATGCAACACGTTGGCTGCGACAATGAGATCATATGCTCCAGCTTGAAACCCCTGTTCTAATGGATTCTGGGAAACGTCCAACACGTTAAACTCCATGTTTGGGGCCCCCGAGAAACGATCCTTGGCTGCGGGGAAGAACCCAGCGGAAATGTCTGTGAAGTTATAGACAGCGTAGGCCGGGAGCCCTCGTACCTGCGCTAGGCCTCGGAGAATAGTCTCGGTAGTGCCTCCTGTCCCAGCTCCGACCTCAAGAATGTTGAGAGTAGGGCGAGTGTGTGAAAAAATGCGTAGAAATTTAGAGTAGTCGAAAGTCATGACATTATAGAGATCGGCCAACACGTTGTCTTCGAGCAACGTCTCGATAGCTGCTGCTTTGCCAGTGAACAAGTTTTCCATATTGTCAAAGAGACGTCGAAGTCCAATGGTCAATGCTTTTTGCGGCATTCCCACAAGCTTGCGAGTGAGTTCTTCGATTTTGGAGAGCCTGAGCTCGTGAGGGATATCGAGAAGCTGTCGAGATTGACTGACAAGCTTGTAATCTCCCGACGCAGCAATATCGAGCTGTCTCTTGAGCCAATCTCGAAACTTGATGAAGAAAGGCTGACATGCCTCAAGACTTTTGATCTTTTCCACAGTTTCAATGATGCAAAGAAGGGTCAGCTCTTCCTGTAGGTGACACTCCTCTCTGTCAATAGCCGGTGGAACGAAGAGTTTCGACGCGTCTACAAAGTCAAAGTGCGGAAGCCAGCTGAGTCTCGAAGTAGCGTGAGTTTCGAGTGCTTCAAGCGACGTGTCTTCTCCTAATGCCCTCAATTTCACACCAGAGGCATGCAGGGCGACTTTGCCTCCAGCATCGAGCTCGACGCACAAATTTGTTCCGTGCAGCCTCCATGCTTTCGCATCCATCAAATCTGAGCCTGTGCTAACCTCGACCTCTTCAATAGCTGTAGGTACAACAAGTTCGGAAATGTTTCTAGCCAAGCCCCTCGCTTGAGAGACAAGAAGTAACTGAAGACCTGCGTCTATCGTTGCTGGATGTAGAGCAAACGGGGAATGGCTCTGTGAGGTCTTATTGGATATGCGACCGTGGACACGGTCTCCCGAAGGTGCAGCCGTCGCGTCCAGCAAGCCACGGAACTCTGGGCCGTAGATGAATCCAACCTGTGCAAGCTGGCTATATATGCGTGCACAATCAACCTGTCGAGGGAGCACCTCAGAGACCCAGTTCGTGGTCCTGGCTTTCTCAAGAATGCTTACTTGTCCTGTGCAGTGCTTGGTCCAGCCTGAACCGTCGTACGACGATATGGTAAAGCTATACCATGCAGAGTCGTCAAGGTCGTTGAGGTTGTGAATGCGCAAGCTAGTGGAGACTTCAACTGAGTCAGAAAGAAGAAGAGCTCGATAAGCAATGACATGTCGCAGGCGGTAGCCTGCACCAAGAGGAGACCGGGTTACCTGTCTGATTGCTTCACCAGCGATAGCCATGTACCCGGCGAATGGGAAAACCACGTCTTGTTTCAGTTTATGATCCATAAGCCAAGGCACATCCTCAAGGCTGAGGATGTTTCGCCATTGAGGTTCTAGATCCGATCCCTCAAAGTTACGGGACCCCAGAAGGCAGTGCTGGGGGTACTCTCTGGACCTCCAGGCCTTTGATATGCGACTCTCAGACCAGTATATTGCGCTGTGGTCCCAAGGATAGTTAGGTAAGCCTGATATGGCTTTCGAGTTGGGGAACAGCAGTCCGAGGTTGAGAGCGATGCCATTCTGGTACAGTTTACCTAATGCACTAAGAAAGACGGTCGAGGAATCTTTATCTCGAGATTGGGAAGACACGTAGTAACAGGGTTGTGAGGAGGATGAACAGATCTGCCTCAAAGGTCCGGCCAGGGCAGAGTGCGGTCCAATTTCCAAAAAAACGCAGGCCTGCTTGGATGCAAGCAATTTTGACACAGCTGATGAGAATTTGACCGGTGATGTAAGATTCTGGGTCCAATACGACGGATGGCGAAGACATGTATCTGCCAGCCCCGTGGTGACAGTGGAGAACATCTCAATCTTGGTGGAGGAGATAGGCGCAGCGTGCCTCGGGAGTTCAGACTGAAGAAGACTTTGGTACTTGACACCCAAGGGCGACATATGTTCTAAAGGGCTGTCAACAGAGACACTGGTGTATGGATGAAGAGACTTACGTGAGTGATAAGCCATATCGACCTTGAGTAGACGAGCAAACATGTCAGGATCAGCCTGTTTGATCGCTGCAACGACTTGAGCGACTCGATCTGCATCTCCGGAGATGGTACTGCTTTCCGGGCTGTTCTCACAAGCCACAACAACACCATCAGTTAGATACTTGGAAATGCCTTGCACCCCCATCCCGACGGCCGCCATGGCCCCGCGAAGAGTCTGCTTTTTTGTCACATAACCACGATAGTACGCAATAACAATGGCTTCTTCCATGGAGATGTGGCCAGCTGCATAAGCACCGGCTATTTCTCCACTGGAATGGCCGACGCTAGCAGACGGGGTGAGTCCCAGGCGAGAGAACTTGTTGACTAGTGCCAGCTGGATGGCTGTGCAGAGAGGCTGTGATAGCTCAGCTCGATTTATTTGGGAGGTTTCCGCAGGCTCTAGGAGCTCATCTACTTCTGTTAGCATCCCTTCTGATGTTCAGTTTGGGCCTGTTACCTATGAGATTCCAGCTTGGCGGAAACTCGAGTCTCTGGAGGACAGAGTTCATGGCACTTAAGTCACTGCGAAAATTTGCATCGCTTTCGATGAGTTCTTTCGTCATAAGGGGCCATTGTGCACCCTGTCCACTGAAGACAAACACCAGGGACAGAGGTCCAGAAGGAATTTTTGACAGACTCGAGACCTCGCTTGGCCTTTCGCGCTGAGAGACAATGAATGCTCTATGGGGCAGATACTTACGATGAGTTGCAAGATTAAAGCCGAGATCGGATATGCAATTGGGATTTCTAGCTGTCCATTCTTGATGGTTGCGGATCTGTCTCTGGAGGGAGGATTCCGTGTTGGCTGACAGTAGAAGCAAAGAAGGAGATGTAGCGCTTTGTTGATCGACATTGGTTGAACGTCTATCATGTTCCGAAGTATATGACTCAAGAATAACCTGGGAAGATTGAGTTTGTAAGAATAGAATAGCTGGAAAGAATAGAGACTTACATGAGCATTGCTTCCCCCGATCCCAAAAGAGTTGATGCTGACTCTCTTCAGGCGATCTGACGGAAAGGGTGTTGGTTTGAGTGGGACACTGAGGTTGTACTTGGAGAAGGGGACTTGTCTGTAAGCTAGGAACGCATGAACGATGAAGGCATAGTAGGCTTACTATTTGGGTTGGGATTCACAAGTTTGATGTTGGGTGGAATCGTCTGATGCTCCAGGGCAAGAACACACTTGATGACCGATGACAGCCCGGCAGAACCCTCTGAATGCCCGAGATTGGGCTTGACTGAGGTAATGAAAACTTTGTTCTCTCCTCCAAAGACTCTTCCTACGGCTGCAGCCTCGATAGGGTCACCCGTTGGTGTCCCAGTACCATGGCACTGATCTCGTTAGCCTACCGATCCTCAAATCCGCTGGCGGCGATAGCTTACCTCGATAAATGCAGTGTCCTTTGGATCCAGCCCAATATCATGGTACGCCTTTCTCATAAGAGCTTCATGGGCAGCTCCATTTGGGGTGACGAGACTGGCACATTTTCCATCGCAGTTCACAGCCGTGCCTTTCACAATAGCTCTTATCGGATTGCCATCGCGGATAGCATCAGACAAGGGCTTGATGTAAATAGCTGTTATGGCTTCTGCACGAGCATAGCCATCAGCAGCAGCGTCAAAGGTCTTGCAGGACGCATCTGGGGCCAGTACTTCACCAGATGACATTGTTGCTGTCAAGGCTGGTGTCATGATCATGTTGGCGCCTCCGACGATGGCGCTTGAGGCATCGCCTCTTTGAACGGCGCGACACGCTTCGTGGAGCGCTACTGCTGAGCTGGAGCATCCTGTTTTTATGACCATGCTACCCGATAAGTCAGCGTGGTTCAGATCATCAGAAGAAACGCATACCTTGGTCCTTGGAAGTCATATTCGTACGAAATGCGATTGGCCATCATGAGATCTGCACCACCAGTTGTAGCGTACAACCCTCCTTGGAGGGGCTCTTTGGTGTTCATGATCAACCAATCATCCCCAAAGGTACCAATGTAGCAACCGACTTGCTTTCCACGATAATGAATTTCTCCTGCATCCTCAAGGCATTCATGTGTTATTTCGAGTAGCAGTCGCTGCTGCGGATCAACCCTCTCAAGCTCATTCTTAGTCAATGAGAAGAAAGACGTGTCGAGGCATGAAATATCACCGTCGATGAAGTAACCATGCTTGGTCTTGATGGAGTCTTTGCCTCCAAGACTGTCGTTGAACCCATCGATGTTGAAGCGGCTGCTGGGAATGGGACGTCGGGCATCGAGGCCATGGTACAAGAGATCCCAGTATTCTTCGCAGTTTCTTATTCCTCCTGGAAGACGCAAAGCAATGCCACAAATGGCAATTTGAGCCGCTTCTAGAGTATCAGGGACTGAATTTCTCATTCTATTATGGGGGTGCTGCTCGTTAGTGGAATTGTCGCCATGAGATGCTTCAACGCTGTCGATGACACTTGCATTGGCGTTCTCAACACTCCAAGATGGAATATCCATAGTCGCGACTAACGATTCTTGGCAATTTTCTAATAGTAAGATCAAAGAATACGCACAGTTATCTAGGCTTCAGAGTATAATACCGCCATCAAGCCCCGATCTAGGCCTTAGCATAAATATCAAGTCCTTGACCCAAATGGACACATCAAGTTCGTTCGGCAGAGATTCCTCCATATGCCGTGCATCTTCATCTGCATATCTGGCTCATATGTTTCGCTTACTGACCTATAGATTACCGCATATCGAAAACTAGTTGCAGATCTTATTGCGCCATCTTCTGACTGCTTTGGGCTTGTGGTATAGGTCTGCCGTTCCAGACGGTCGAGACTGCTTGAAATCACACTACACAACATCTCATGCAGCGAGATCGTATCAGGTCTGTTGTCACTCCGAGGCAAAAAACTACATGGCTTGTGCCGGTTTCAATGTCATGGAGAACAGGTCATGCAAGTAAGCAGCCACTTGGAATCACGGTAAGAAAATGCCTCGATCTTAGCACTCCTTCCAAGCATGGTTGAGCAGCACGGCATCGGACTCCACATCTGGATTCTAGAGCATATGGGGCTTTTATTTCGGGAACAAGAGGGCATCGTGTCGCCGTGTCATTGGACTCGGGATGCGGAGATGTTTCGTCCTCTGCTGCAGACAACACGTAAGAACACTTGTGTAACACCTCCTTGCGGAGCGCAGGCGGTCTCAAAGGAAATGATTTCACAATACTGTATTAATAGCCAGTGCCAGTGCATTGGATTACCTATCGCCGTCGATACACGGCAGCCACACCGCTGAGACAAATTCTCGTTACTGGACGAGAGTCGACGTTGCAGCCCCGAAGCTTGATTCCTTCGGTACACGATTATGTTGAACAAAAAATATAACTCCGTAACCTACTCAATTTGGACTGGCTGTCACAAACTGACAGAACCCATCACTAACTGGTCTCTTCCAGCACCTCGGACCCGTTACGCGGCTTCGAGGCCCTAAACACAAACATCATAGCCACGACACTGGTCTCAACCTCCTCAAACCCCGCCTTCAAAGCCTCCTCCAGAACATTCGGATCATCCTGCCAATTGTCAAAGATACCTCTCTTGTTGTAGAACCCAAGCATGAAAGCCGCTGCTCTTCCAAGCGGCTTCTCACTCTTCACCCTATACCCATCATCAGTCTTCTCCCATTGCTTCCCCAACACCGTGCACCCAACCAAAACGCCATCTTTGGTCAGGAGACTCTTGGCATTTGTGATGGCATTTGCTTTGCTGGCTGTTGGCTGCGGCATGTGATGCATGACGAGAAACAGAGAAGCGGATGTGAACTTCTGGGACGCAAGAGATTGAGGAAGTGGTTGTGCAGCATCCGCATGAACACAGTCAACTTGCACTTCTGGATACTTGGACAGAACACGCTGTCTCGCTGTTGCAAGAGAATGCTGACTCAAGTCGACCAATGTCAGATGTTGGTCTTTTGGATCGCGGTCAAGATCCCCGATTGCTCTTCTTGGGAAGTAACCAGTTCCAACGCCAATGTCGACATGTCTCTTTGAGAAGTTGCTAGAGAATAATGGACGAAGATTATTCTGTGCAGAGCAGCGCCAGATGAAAGGGACAGAGATACGCAGGATCAGAACATCGTAAAATGGGAGTGTGAATGGCGTGCACCACGAGGCCGCTGTACTTGCGGTGCGCTTAAGGATTGTCATTGCAACTAAGGATGGGATAAGTATCTAGGATGGGGTCGCGTGTCTGTGAAGCGCGGTCTCGTCTGAAATACTTGGGCTCGTGAACCTCCCATTTTCCGAGCAGAAATCGGGTGCGTGCAGGCGATGGCTTCGAAGAAGACTGGCCACGTACTTTCTAGGCCGAGACATGTACACTGCATGTTCCGTGCTCTGTGTTCCCTCGAAGGACATCGCCGAGACGGTCTGGAGAGTTCCGTGTGAGATTGTTACACGATATGTCTCTAGAGTGAGAGATGGCAATCGGGGAAGCATGGTTACCATGTTCTTGATCACATGCCTTGTTATAAGCATGTTGAGTGGAGAGAGATCACCACGGGGCGGATTTCACAGAAAGATTCAATGGCTTGCACTGACAAGAAAGAATGGTGTGAGCAGAGGCATGGCTCATTGGCGGAACTATCACACTATAGCTTTGATCTGATTTACTGCAGAGTCATACTGCATCTAGCTTTGGGCATGAATGCCTGCCAGCTCATTAGAGTGGATGATCGCAATCAGGAAGAGAGATGACCGAGGACATGATGATATGTCAATTACTTCTCGTGTGATGTACTGCAGCTTGATGAAAATCTTGGCACGATTGAGCGAAATGTCCCGCATACAGATACTGTAGCCTTCATGTTATCACAGATTAATTCTACAGCGTCTGCAACGCATCTACATAGCCGCCAATGTTACTGTTACCTAGCACATACGACCAAAGGTAGTGGAAAATACGGGATCCCGTCCGCTCTCCCATAGTCAAGCCACTAACCGGCGGATTAGTAGTTGGGTCGGTGACGACCAGCGAATCCCCGCTGTTGTATGTTTTTTGCCCTTCTCGACAAGTGGAAGAGGCGCTATCCTTTTTGGTGGACCTGAGTGGGACGGCGAGGGTCGATTGTGGGGATGCTGCCGTGATTGAAGAGACAATCAAACTTTGGGTACTGTCGGTCAGATCTTGGAAGGTAGGGCAGGTCAGAGATGAATCGAGAACACAACGTGGCAGGTGGCAGTAAGGTAGTCACGGATTCAGTCAATTGGAGGAGTGTTCAAGGATGATATGGTCACGGTTCGGATGTCTGGCTGAGGCTACTACAGCAAGACTAAACCCTTGAGTGCGAAAGCTCTCGGGTGTTGAATGACTGCGACAGTGGGATGTAGATTGACGAACATAGCGCAACTGAAGCTCGAGAGAAGACAAGCGGCGTTGCGCTTGCATCCCAAACGCGTATGCAAGTGTTATTGGTGGTGTAATCTCATGGGTTCGGCGTTGGAGGAGACAAGTCGCAAGTGCGTTTGGCTGACGTGGTTATGGTGATGGTAGCGATGAGGAGCGTGCCTAAGGTCGGGAGTAGACGGATCAATGTGTGGAGATGTTCGCTTTACGTGTAGTAAAATGGCTTGGCCAACAATGTTGCTTAGCACGTCAACGCGATGGCTCGTACCGACCGCACTGAGCTCCCGCCCATTCTGACCCCAAGACAGGGTCGTAGGACAGCTCATTGTGGTGCCACACGGGGCCTGTCGCACCCATGCATCTGCTGCCGCCGGTGCATTTGCGCATACTGGCAGAGCAGTCAGCGACGGATTTGTTCAGATCGGTCCAGCAATCGTCCGCGCTGAATGCTCCATCCTGGGCGATTCGCCTGATGGCGCAAGATGCTCGGGTGAGAAGCAGCAACGGAAGGGAGCAGGCGCTCAGAGCAAACGTTATCGGTCGACGACGCGGGTAAGATGTGGGGGAGTGTGTCGGGCATAGCTCGATCATTCAGGGCTCGTTGTGTATGACATGGGGAGGGCGTTTCAAACGGCCGCGCGCCGGTGGTTGATTCGATGGCATTAAGCCTGAGAATGGGAGGTGGTGTTGTCGCATCGTGATACTCGTCTTGTGAGCCTGTTGCTGATTAGCTGCCATGGTTGACGAGTGCGTGCTTCTCCAAAGGTGACGCAGAGGACGGCGTCACGCTGGGGAAGATGCTCGGATTAATCTTGCGCCGCGCTGACTGAGCGCAGGGATCTTTATTGTTGTCGTTACCCTGCACCGACCTTCAAATACAGGCAAATTAATCGTCACAGAAGCTGTGGTGCGGCCTGAAGCTCGGAGGGATATAGGACAGTAATTTTTCTAGGTTTTTCCCCCTGGTTTAATGTAAAAATGGTTGTGTATAAATTGGACGGAGAGGTTTTGCGGAAGTGATATCTTTTCGCATTGAGTTTGACATTGAATGTCAATGCTTACCGTAGATCTTCAAGGCTGAGGCAGCGATCTGTGCCCCGCGTCACGCCGAGTCACTCTGATTCGCTAGAAGCAAATGCCCCGCTGCAGGCTTTCACGTTAGACGCGTTGAAAAAGGAAGACGTCATCGTCGATCGCCAAGGTTCGCATCACGATCTCAAATTCGCCTGGAAAATCGTCACTCATTTGCGCCTCCACCACCAAACACTCTCAATCCCATTCTACCTCCCCTCACATCACCAAAGCACCTTTACATCAACCGCAGAGATAATTCGATGGACTTTTCCTGCCACGTCCGAATAAACAACGAATCCTCCGAGGATCTCCTCCTCGAAGACTCCGGCCTCGAGAGCGGAGACTGGCCATTACGTCAGCCCCTCAATGTGATCGAAGCAGGCACTCAACAGACCATCTACCTCGCCCAACCGAGCTGGGGAGGTTCAAAAGCATGGGTCACGTACGAAGCGAGATACGGACAGGGTTGGAGGAATTTCACGCTCGAGTTTGAGTGTCCTGCTATGCCGCTTTCGAAGAACCATGTCAAGGTCAAGGATTGCTCGAGGGTCTTTGAGATTGATGTTACGGATGTCCAGGAGCGGGGGAGTCCTTTGACTGGTATGTACTGAGCCTTTGGTACTGAGAGTGCGCTGACAGATTAGCGAATGTAACGATTCGCATGGATTCCAAAAAGTCTATGGTCACCAAGAACGATGACATCCGAGCAAACTACGACATCGGCGTCGGCGTCTCATTCCCGACAAAAATGGATATAAAATTCCCCGTTCACGAAAGCATAGTCGTGGCAGCCTTTATCGAGTCCGACATGACATTCCCCCGCGGAACAGTCTACAACAACATCAACGACAAACAATGGGAGTTTTTCCGCGGCGTAGTCTGGAACGACGATCCCTCCTGTCTACTCTTTGAGGACGTCACCGAAGACAATCGCATGTTCGGCTTGGGCGTCGAGTGGTTAAATGCCTTCAAGTTCGGCGATGAGAAATGCATGACCAAGCGATCGCACATGGGAGATCTTCAGTTCTTTCACGGCATGGGTTCAGTGATGGGAGAGAAACCGCAGAAGACGCGCAAGAATATCCTTACGTGGATGGAGGTCATGTACAAACTTGCGTGCGGCGATCAAGATATTTCCGAAGAAGACACTCTGGACGATGTTCTACCCGGGTTCTTCACCAAAGATACCGTGCCCTCGAAATCCGACACCCTCCGCGATCTTATCCTCGCCACAACACCAAAGTACAAAGACGCCGATATTCGTAAACGCGCATTCGGTATTTGTCTCCATATGATCTCCGACTCGTACGCCCTAGGCCACACGCAGCGCCGTCTGCGCAATCCCTCTGATTTAATCGAGCGCGACACTGCAGGCTACATTCGCTTCAAGCCCGATACCTACGGCGACTGGGGCTCTATTCTTTGCTTCCACACATACAACGACCAAGACGGTGATCGCCATTCTCACTATGATGACAAAGACGGTGAACAGGATCCTGCACCGAGGGATGTCACGACGTTCAATGAGATGATCGGCGCGAGGAATGCTATCATGGGCTGTACGGAGATGATTAATCTGTTTATGAAGAAGACGCCTTGGAAGGAGGGCGTGAAGAAGTTTTTGCAGGAAGAGATTTTTGTGCTGGACAAGGATGCTAAGCCGTCTGATCATTTTACTGATGAGAGTGTTGTGTCGTATGTTTATGCGCAGAGGGACGAGGAGATTGAGTATCAGGCTGGGTTTGAGAGAAAGCTCGCCTCTTTGGAGGAGGGTGGATTGAGTCTTGCGCCGAAGAAGTGCGATGGACGATCAAGGGTTATTTCGGCGCTGGCGATGGTTTTTCTTTTCATCAGCGCAATTTTCTTTACGTTCTGTACGATGAGGATTCATGGGCTTATGTTTTAGGAATAATGATTTGAGTTTGAGGCTATAGGGACAGATTGGGATATTGGATTAACGGGAATGGTTGGGAAAGCGTTGTATTTATCATTATACCACTCCAAAATTGATAATTTGTAATACCGCAGGCAAATTTCTGACCCATACATCGTATTGATCTTCGGCCCTTCGTATCGTTCAATATCCATTACGTCAAGGAGATGCTGGTTGAAGGCCAGTGTGATCTTCACACCGTGCACCCAGCATAGCCAATTTCCGCGCCGTCTTGTAATGTTTGTGAGTAATATTTCTCACCAAGATGTGTTTTAAATTCTCCACTTACCAACAGAGATCAACAAACGCTCGTATTCAACATTGGCATTCTCTCTAGCCAAGCGCTATCACGATCGTCTTAATATGAACGATCAAGCGAAACGGGTCGACGATTCTTCAAATGGAACTGGCTTGCCCCTCCGATCTGTCCATTCTTTGAGAGACTTTGGTGGCTGCACAAGAGTAAAACGTCCTCTTCGTCGGGGTGCATTGGATGAAGTTGCGTAGCTGTCTGTACTGACTGGTCGTGCTGGAATGTGCAGCCCGGCGGTTAAGCCATGGTCTGAGTGGCGTGGGATCATTATGAGAAATATTGAGAGACTTCAAGGGCAGTTTTGGGAAAAGTTAATATGCGTCTGGGAGAACGAGTTCTAACTTATGAATTGATGGAATGGCAATCGGGTTAGGAACGTGAGAAGCCATTCTTTAATAACTAGCAACGCACAAAGTTTGTCCTCTTGAGTGTAAGTTAATGACAGGATTATCTTTATCGGGCTAATGATGTCTTTGTTCAAAGCATGTCTGCCAGAGGCGAATAATCCATCTTGCATGCTTGTTTGGTGAAGTTCCCGCCGCTGAAAGTCACTCTTACTGGCCCGCCTCTTAAAGTCAAATGCTGAACTCAGGATTGATCCAATCAGGCGATTCGCCAAAACGTATACCAAGGCTACGTGACCGGTCTTGCCCAGTGAATGATAACTGATTCGTGTGCATGCAGAAGATCCTTTGTTATCAGCAGAGAAGTAGACCCGCAGGATAAAAGCCCCTTGTGATGACTCCTTCAATTTCCTACAGACACGCCGATGAACCATACTGGAACTGCAAAAGCAGAGATTCAAGGGGCAAAAAGGACATCATTGTCTAAAAGGAACTGCAGCGCAAAAGAAAACAAAAAAACAATTCGCGAAATCACGAAAAAGAACGGGCTCCACCGGGGATTGAACCCGGGACCTCTCGCACCCAAAGCGAGAATCATACCTCTAGACCATGAAGCCGATTTTAGTGATGATTAATAATTTGGTTCAAAATATAATATATATACGTAAATCTTCTTATCGTTTTTACAACAATAATATCACCCACCATAGCTCGCCCTCCCCCACGCGAGACACAGCTCTGAGACCGACTCTCGCTACTCGTTAAGTCTCGTTCCTGCCGAAACACATCACCCGCGGCTTCCCGAGCCCTGGGTCAAGCGGCACGCCAAGATCTGTCTGTTGCCATCAGGGTCAACACCACATCATATGCATCCTCTATCGCGAGTCATCTATCATAAAAACTGCAAGCATATGTCAAAGATCACTCGGCAGTTACCATTCGGACCACTCTTTTAGTCACCAATCACATCTCCCATAAACAACTCTCATCACCTGATGACTTCCTCAAACCTGTAAGCAGCATCTATACCCCTCCAGTTCAGAATCACACACAAAAGCACCTTCCCGATTAACCTTCGCTTAAGCACAAAGTTATAGATCTAGACATTATGGCGTAGATCAGGCGTCACGAATAGCCCAATGCGGTGCTGCTCTGCCACGGTCGCACTCAACGTTAATATCTCTTGCATATACTTTCGGGGAGCGCGCCTCCCGCCAAGATGAGACAAACTCTATTGAGGTCTTTATTCTTGGCGTCGATTTTTAACTCGAATGGTTTGAATCCCGTTATCAGTCACGAAATGCCGTCTACCGATTGGTCCACCATGTTCAACATCCTTGTGAGTAGGCTCTGCGGGATACCGGCAGCAATACCCCAGTTTATCACCGCGGCAATTGCGACGAACTCCATACCTTTTCACAGCTAAGACTTGTCTGTTTCAAGAAGAGCAGGTGCAGAATCTCAATCCAACTGTGGATATAATGACAAAAGCCACGTTGCCGAGACAGGGATGTTGATTGGGGTTCTGGTTGATAAGAACTGCAGCGCCGTTGTACGCAAGGTCGCGAGTGTAACGTTGGGAAAATACTCGAGTCAGTCGCTCGTTGGAGTTGCCCAATGTAGCTGTGCTAGGGGTAGTCAAGATGAAACCACGGCAATTCGAGGACAAGACGGTAATACCGGCACCACCTGATTTTCGACGGTGATTCCCTTCAACCTTGCCATGAATAGCCTCAACCTTGAACAAAAAGAGGCGGAATCCCCAGAATTAAAACGGTGACGTCGTCATCGCATTTCCTAAAACTATGCATAATCCGAAACTTAAATAGTTACCAAGACCCTCATTCGCAACACGAGGTTCAAAAAACCATCCCCTGAAGGGACCCGCCCTCGTTTCGGACGAGTTGACCCCCTGATAATGGTAGCCGAGCCCGCTGTATAATATGGAGCAATGCAACGAATATGTCCCACCGCTAATCACGAGGTTCATCCTGCTTAGAATATGTATAATGATTTGCATAGCCGCGGTTGTTAAAAAGGCCCCCATGTCTCACCCATTCTCAAGGCCCGGGGAGTTCAAGTGGCAGTGTTTTCCTAGCTTTTGTTTTGTGCAATGGATGTTGATCCTTTGGTAGTTGCCATCTTTGGCCCACCGCCTGAGGGGATAGATCTCTCGGCTAATAGCGAGGCCAAGAATGCTGCTGTTGTTCTTACCTTGTTGCTCATCTCTGCTTTGTTCTTGGCTGGACGCATTGTGATTCGCACGCAGCAGGTTTATGGGCTGAGTCTTGATGACTATGCGATTATTATATCGTGGGTCTTTGTGGCTGCTACTGGGGCCATGGTAGTAGTTGGTAAGTCAATTGGTTCTTTAATTGATAGTTACTAATATTGCTAGTTGGCCAAGCTGGTGCTGGTAAGCATGTCTGGGCACTCACAATAGATCAAATGGTTGAGGTCTCCAAGGTTCGTCAGCAACCGTGTATTGAACGTCTCATACTAATCTTGCTAGCTCTCATACATATATACTTACTTCTTTGCAATATCCGTCTTTACAACAAAAGTATCGATTCTCCTCTTCTACCGACGATTATTCAGCCGGGGCGGCTTCTCATTCAAGATCGCCTTTTGGTTTGGGACCTTCCTGGTGGCAGCATACCCAGTGATATTCCTGTTCACCATGATACTTGGCTGCACGCCTATAAGCCACTACTGGACACAGTTCAAAGGGACCGAGGGAACTTGCATTGATGTTGGCCAATTCTTTGTCATTCTGGCCATCATCAATCTGTTCACTAACGTCATCGTGCTGTTGATCCCAGTGCCAGAGGTACTCAAGCTTCAGATGAACAGAGAGAAGAAGGGAGCTGTATTTGGTATCTTGGCCCTTGGAGGCTTGTAAGTCACCACGACTGTCTTTTCAGATCATCATTAACGCTACATAGAGTCTGCATCGCCAGTGCTGTACGCGTATACTATCTAGACGTCTTCGCCAAAGCCGCCGACAACACATGGGCCATGGGCACCGTGGCAATATGGTCCTCGGTCGAGCCCTCAATGGGCATCGTATCAGCCTGCCTACCCAGCTTCAAGTCATTCTTGCGATACCTGCGCCGCAAAGGCGGTAGCAAAAGCAGATCAAGTTTTCCAACAATTTCCAATGGCGGAAAAGGAAACAGACTACGGTTTGATGATGAAATTGCACTGAGAAGTCAGATAGTTGGTGGTGAGGGAAGCATGCATAGTGGACAGGGAAGTGAGGCTGGAAGACAGATTTACGTCAAGACGGATGTTGAGCAGGTCATTACTGAGATACCCGAGGCGATGAGACGAAGCAATGTTTGAAGTGATACCAATTGAGTTTTGTTTTGCGCTGCATATATAGAAGCGACCTGAAATTTATGTCTTTAGCATTTGTATATAAAGATTACAAGATTCGGTCCACTGTCCACAGAAGACTGGTATGGGTTCCTAGTATCCCAACACCGGTATTTTGTTTCCCACTAGAACTTGGAAACATTCGCGCGCCCAACATCGATCCCAAATCTTCCAAGAGCCCTTTTCCCCTCCCGTGTCTCATTCGGAAGATCTGTTTCTCCTGATGTTCTCGCATTATCCCTCCGCTCTTCTGACTCCACCGAAGCCTCGCCTTTCTGCCACCACCCAAGACTAAACACCCAGCCATCAAAAGCTTTCTTCAACTGTCCATCAGTCATGTACTCAGCTCCTTGCGGTATAATACCCAAATCTCGATCGCATAGCTGAGAGCCAGCCAGAAATGCCATTGTGCTTGCGATACTGCACGGGTCGCGTGGAAGTGTACCGCGAATCTTGACAAGGAGATAGCTTGAGAGACCCAGAACGGCTATGACAGCTAGTAGAACTTGGAGAATGGTTTTAGAAGTTGTGTTTATGGCAAAGCGGGTGATTACTTGGCGCATCGTCCCATCTACCTCCGTATTTTGTGACACTGCCTCCTCAGCTGGAGATGGAGACGCTAAAGCACTGACAAGCTCGTCATGAGGGGTCTTTTCGTCTGCTCGGAAGTTGAGATCAATGACATATCTCATGTACTCGCTGTAGCCCTTCTCCACTGCATCGATCAAGTTGCTGACATTCCCAGGCCCGATAAGTTCCTCTTTCTTGACCGCCTTCGGACCATAGATTAAGTGATTGAAGAACGGATCACAGTCAAGTGGCTTCTCGGTGCTGGCGTTGTGAGTTGGATAAAGCTTCAGGTGGGTATCGAGGAATTTCTTCAGTTTGTAGTTCAGCGCCGATGACCCTGAGGTACTGTTGACCCATTTCCAAGTTTGATTTCGCGCTAGCTCTGGGGGGTGCTTCTCATCGATCCTCCTAAGCGCTGGGTCGCCCTTGAACGTGATGTTAAGTGGAACTTGCTCAATGCCTTGAGTGCAAGTCAATGCTGTCATATTCCATGCCGAGGTATCATTGCCTCCCATGTTTCCAAAGAAAGCGCCGATGGAAGGACAAGCAGCACCGGGGTCACTAACGGTTAGGTTGAGATCCAGGTAACTACCGACCCACCTACTGTGATTGGTTTTTCCTTTGTCCGCAATCTTCACACTCGTATTGAAAGATACATAAGACTTCCCGTTGACATCCTGGCCTTTGCAACCGACCGGAGCGGTGAAGTTGGCCCATATGGTTTTCTCATGTGAGTACCCGCTCAGAGCTCCGTCGAGGGCGTAGTAATATGTCTTGACCCACGGATTCATAACTAGATTCTCTGCCGGGACTACGGTACAGTTGAGGAAGGGCCGCAACGCCCCGACGGTATAACTGTAGCTGGAGGATTGGGAGACCGTATCAGGTATGGAAGCATCGGGTGCAAGGCTGGTACTTGGTAACACCAAGTCTTGCCAAATTGCAACTGAGGAGTTTGCACCGCCATGCCGAATGAGGTTCAGTGTTTTTGCAGCACCTGAGTCGTCCTGGCTGATTGCAGGCCATGATGTACGCCAATTCCCCAACATTGCTGTCGTAGATCTCTCGACATTCACCGGCCCTGTGAGTGTCCAGAGACCCGAGGACACGATTGTGAGGAGGCTGCCCAAGAGCGATGAGATGTTGGAAGACGCTGGTCCTGGCTGACGAGCCCGCATGGATTTAAAGACTATCAGGAACGGTGATACGGATAGCGGGTGAAATAAAATGCTTGTTTCTGCAGGAGCGCTTCCTGACCGAAGAACACTGTACGGGGCAAAAGTCCCTATGATAAAGTCAAGACTATTGACCATTGTTGATATGAGAAAGAATATCGCCGTGGTGGCCATTCGTGTAATTGAAATGGTGGAGGAGTCTGTCTTGTTCACGTCGAAAAGGCCTTGTCTTTGACTAGACAGCTGTTGAAGTAGCTCAAGTGCGCCAATAGCAAGTATGGGGATGGTGATTGTAGCAGTTGTGAAGTACAATGACCCAGCTATAGGTGTCCAGGGCTTGGCCTTGTTTGTCCGACGTTCCCGGTCCTCGGGAAGACTCTCTTCCCCTGTCACACTTATCCGAACGTCATCACTGGCGCTAGTCATGGCGAACTTCAGGCCTCCTATATCTTCAGTCAAGCTCTTTTCGCTCAATTCACCGGAACCCTCGAGGATCCTCTGCAGTGAAGCATTGTTTGCCAATACAGCGGCATGTCCAGCAATAGAGCCACCCATGGCAGAGATCCAACAACGCGTAGAAGATCCAAGCATTAAGAGCAAGCAGACGATAGACAAGGCTAAAAAGCCTGAAACCATGATCCATACTGTGACATTGTTCGTTTGGAGCCTTGGGCTGCTTACGAGACCATCGCCTGTATTGTTTGTAGCTTTGTCCACGAGCAGTGACTGACGAGCAACCTCATTCAGAAGTCCCTCCAGGATCTCCACCGATAGCTTCTTCAGCGTTGATGACACAGAAAGAAGATCAGGTCTGAACTTGTCTCCCAATTTGACAGCCATCAACTGGAATAGTGCTTGGCTGGCAGTCCAATCGCGAGCCCTCTTGTTAAACTCGACACTTATGACGGGGACATTCTTGACGTAAGAAAAAGTAGAAGATGCCAATTCAAGGTCTGTCATAAGCATCTCGGACAGAGAAGAGTTCGTCAAGTTGCGCAACGGTCTCCCTTCTCCATATTCGGCGGCAGGGGTCAGAGTCACATTGCGCGAGAGAATGTCCTGAGTCGCAGTGACCGAAACCATTTTGTAGCCAATCTTGCAAATAACGGCTGAATGATTGTTGAGTTTGATAGACTCTGTAACGTTCGTTGGCTGGACCATGGAGGGAATGTTGTGGTGCGCGACTGTGATGGCGTATCGCAAATCAACGGTCTCCAAATCGTTTTGCGAATTTGAATCATCCGGACTACTTTGGTCTGGAAGCCTGACTTCGGAACAGTTTACGCGGTGAAGCGTATACGCCCAGGGTTGGCTACCGCACATGCTTGTATTCTTGTGAGACAGCCTTAGGTCAGGACATATGAAAATGCTTTCTTTTCCTGTTGAGCACGTAGACGAGTTCCACCTGTAGTATGAACCTTGAACGGTAGGAGGATCTATAGTTAAAGTTGCATCTTCACAGGCAATAACTGGAACAAATAGGTCGACCGGGGCTGTGAGCGATGTAAGGTTGATTGACGATGCCGTTGATTTGAATCTCTGGGTCACGATTCCACCTTGGGTGTTCCATACATAATCACGCGCTATATCGCCTCGGAGACGAGACACGTACGCGTAGACAGGCTTGTCCGAGCCGCCAGTGAACCACTCATCCTCCGTGTGACCCAGAACGAGTCGGCTCGCCCTGTGAAATGGCGATAAATGGAAGGAGGTCCAAGTACTGGCAGTGTCGAAAGCAGTCTCGTATGTGATTTCCACTGGTTCAGCATGCGACGGGTGCTGAACCACGAATAAAGTAGTAGAAACAAGGATGATACCTTTGAGGAGAAAGAATGAGAGAATTGTCGAGAAAACACGGTAGTGACGGAATTTAAATGCCTGGTACACACTCTGGAGTTGAAACGGTGATACATAGTCCAGCAGAAGCGACCTGGAACCGAGTACAGGTCCAGATTGAAGTTCCCTCCACGGTTGGGCAGCCTTATAATAGTAGTCGACTCGTCTCCAGAAGCTCAAGACGATTATGAGCACCGCTGTCGGACCATACGTCCAAGAGTAGTCGCTGGAGGAGAAGTTGAGAGGGAAGCCGTCTCTAGAATCGGAAACGTATTTGAGGACGATGAGCGAGGCAGCGAGGGTTGTAAAAACAAGGGCAAATATGAGCAGTGCGTATTTACTCAGCCAAATCGGTGGCTGAGTTGTTCGCTGCTGGGTCTGGTCTTTGGTGGTGTTGCCAAGCGATGGTTGGTCTTCAGCAGAGTCTTGCTCGTCCGGGCTCTCGGGCCTAAGGTTTAGTGTCGAAGAAGTCATCGCATAGCCTTGATTAGAGTTGGAAATATTCCGAGAACAGTGGATTGTCCCTCAATACGATATATATCACCCGCTTCAGGTTTCACAGGGTTGGGAGATTAGCACCCTGTAATCCTGAAGACTTGGGGGCCAACGCTGTGGAGTGTCGCAAGGCATACCGCTTGTGTACTCTGTGCTTACCCAATTGGAGCTTGCAGCCTAGGGTCTTGCGTCATTTAGCGAAAAAAACAGGATTGGATAATACATTTATTGATGAATAAAATGACGAATCAATGAGGACTCGAGAAAAGCTCTGTACTCCGAAGCACTAGCTTTGGATTTATCTTATCAGGCACCGTACACGACATGCTTTGGACTTCGCACTCCACAACGGTGGCATGAGATGAGGGGATTGGTGAGGGGATTGGTCAGTGGCGGCGCTACATAAACAGAGAGTAGATTTACACAGGGCTTATTGTTTCATCTGGGCACTAAGTATGACACAAACATGCAGCTACGGGAAGGATACGATGATTAACCTTGAAGTCCTAGTGGCTGAGCATACTAATAATAGAATTGTAATCTCTAACTAACTACTTATCTAAAACCATACAGATGTTTGCGAATATTTCCTATCTAAGTACCAAAGTCATAAGCTGTCGTCAATCGTTTACCAAAAGATCGGAAGGTCCACAGTTGTTTCCCAGTCCATGTTTGAATCCTTCAACTCTATCCTGTCAATGCAAGTCCCAAAGATCTTGTCCCACAGGCGAGTCTGCTTGCCATAGTTACCGCTTGCCTTCCAGCCCTTTCGGTGGTGAAGATCATGGTCCTCAATCACAAGCTCAGCGTCAAGAAGACGGAGAAGCCAGCTAAGCGTGCCGGGAGGCGATGTGTAGACTCGCAGACCGCTATGGCCACCCAGCTCGGTAA